TTGCATATTATATTTGATGTTTAACACTTTTAGTTTCTTTTTTGCTTTTGATTATTCAAGTATTAAGACAAATTTAAGATAAAATTAATGTAGAAAGATCTTAAATATTTAGGATAAGTAAGATTTTTATATTTGACGTTTTAAATTTCGAAGGTTTTGATGTCTTTTTTTGTAATTTTTTTTTTCTTTGTGTTTATTGTTGGATAATATTATAGTAAAACAAGTAGGGAAAGAAAAGAAAAACAAAAGGAACAAAAGGGAAAAAAGGGAAAAAAAAGTGACCAAACTTTGATTGGCTACATTATTAGGCAATTAGTATAAAAAAATTATCTAGCACTGATAAAACAAATGTGGAAGAAGAAAAAGAGAAAAAAGGAAAAGAGTTTTGTATTGAACGTTCATTAAATGATTGGTGTCAAAAAAATATCTAGCACCACTAAAATAGATGTGGAAGAAAAGAAAAGTAAAAAAGGAAAAGATTTTATATTGAATAATTTATTTCAGTTATTTATTTATTTATTTTTCTTTAACATTGAGTTATTTTCTTTTTTATTTCTTTGATTTTAATTTATATTTTGTTTTTTGATGTTGCAAAAGGTTTAGTATACAACCTTTACCAATCGTTTCAAATCCAAACTTGCTTTCACATCCTTTTTCATATCTATCTTCAACCTCATTTCTAAGCATCTAGGATTAGGCCTCAAAATGTCATGGAATTTCTGATAAGTTCACATCTAAACCAAAATCTTCAACCTTCTATTCTCCAACCATTTGTTAAACCAATTGCTCAACTCCGAACCTTTGCACCACCACCACCAAATTCTTGGGTTCCTAGTCAACCTGTTGCCCAAAAATTACCTAAGAAAAAGAAATAGTTAGATCATTTCTCAATTAATAAAATAAGCCTAAAATTTTTATTTCACTAAAATTTTTAAATACTTTTAATCAAATATTTGCTTAAATATGTTTAGTGTAAAGATTTTTTATAGTTAAATGTTATTTATAACGTATTTTTTAAATTATTTAGCTCTTCTTTAGGGTTTAACGAGTCAAACTTGGTGGAGTCCTAATTAAAAAATTAATGCATTGAAATTGGAATGAGGTTGAAAAGATTTTTTTTCATCTAAGCAAAAATTTAATGTGCTCAAACTTAAGTGAAAGAAAATCGATAATACTTCTATTGATATCTTTTGATCATGGGGTCCTATTCATTAGAGAAAATGAGTTAATCTTATGTCTTTGAAATAAATCTCATGATTCCATACATCATAGTAAGGGCTAAAATATAAAGTTAAGGGTACCGAAATAACTTCTATTGATATCTTTTAATCATAAGGTCCCATTCATTGGAGAAAATGAGTTAATCTTATGTCTTTGAAATAAATCTCATGATTTTGTACATCATGGTGAGGGCTAAAATATAAAGTTAAGAGTGTCGAAATAACTTATATATCTTTAAGGCTTCAAATCTGACTCAATTGGTTGTTTTTCCATTTCAATTGTTTTGCAAGCATTTGATAATATAGTTACTACATATTCTTTTCAAGTTTGTTAATGGTGTCAATTATTACTACATATGCTTTTTGAGTTTATTAATGGGCATTTTGAAAGCTAACATGTTATCTTTTGTTATTTTTCTATTCTTTCTATATATTTAAAAAAAAGTAAAAAAATGTTATCTAATATTGATATTTTGACATTGCATTAATATTTAAAAAAAAAAAACCCTATAGCATAGTATTCAAATCAATAACTTGTTGACCAAAACATCCAAGGTAAAAGATCTAAGAAGAGGAAAGAGAGAAGAAAAAACATCTTCTTTTCTATTTTTGATTTAATATAGTCCATAGTCCATACTTATCGATTTTTTGAGGCTAAATAACGAAAAATTAAGCTCGAATCCATTATTGTCTTAGTAAGGTTGTAAGTCAATATAGAAAAAATTAAAAAAAAATTAAAAAGTCTTGAATAGAGGATTTATATAAAATATTCAATCAAACTTTATCATAATAGAATAAGGAAGAATTTTTGCTATCATTGGACCATTCATATACATTCGAAAACTGAATAATCAAAAGGATTAGCGTGGTCATGTATTTGATTTTACTTATTGAATTGCTTTGTTTAATTTATTGAATTTTTATAGTACACAGTCATATATTCCCTAGCTCTTAATCCAAATTATTTCTTCATTTGAAATTTACTTTATCCATGATAGACACAACAAAGAATGATCCCAACTCTTCTACACCAATGCCTACCATGATAATGTTCAAATATTTGGCTTCTAAATTGTGACTAATTGTTGATTGTTTTCTTTTCATCTGTTTATTAGAGTTTTAAAAATTTTGGCTTTGTAAGTGATATGATTGTGAGATGGAAAAAAGATTTATGTTGATAATTATTCTCAAGTCTTTTATCTCAATGTGCTTGGTTGATGAATAACGAATTCAAGCTTTTATCAAAATATTATATTATTTTATATTGTGTCCTTTTAATTTTTCAAACTCTTCACCAAAAGCAGTATAAAATTTCACATGTTCTTATACATCAAATTGAGAGTGCATGGTATAAAATTTTAGATGCTTGAGTGTCATTTTGGTTGCACTGTCTTTTTATTTTTTATGAGTTAGAGGTCATTTATACCATAGGATTCTATGTTTATAAGTTTTGCATCATGTATATATTTGATAATTGACAAGAGTAAGTGATGTTAAATCTTTTATTGAGTTTAGCACACATTCATTCTAGATTTTTCTATCTATGAATAAAAATGAAAGTTTCCATCATCTTGAAAAAAACTTAATCTAAATTAATATGTTGTGCTTTCATACTATATGTATCTTTTTCTTTTCAAACAATTGATGTTTTTAAGGCATTTCATAAAGTATGATATCAACTACCTTGCTTTGGTATAATTTGTTCAAACCTATTATTTTTTTATATCTATGCCCAGAAAAACATTTCTTGAAAGGTTTTCCTTATTATTGACCGGACCATGAATTGAAAGTTTAATAGCAATCTAGACAGTACCAATGACAAGTTTAGCATCTCATTAAATAATTTACAAGGTACAAGTATCTTGAATTTATGTAGACTTATATATGTGTTAAAGTATACATACAAAATTTCATTCACCGAATTTTAATATCTTTGTTAAATATAAAAGAAAATTTATGTGTTTTAAGTTGTTGAAGAAATTAATTTTTTATTTTTTATTCTTTAAAAACAGTATTTGCCTTTTGTATCTCAATACTCATTTTGTTTTTATTTTTGGGAGACAATTAAAAAGTAAGAAGCAAAAACAATTTAGCAAACAATCTTTAAGGGAAACAAAATAATTGATGAAACTAGGTAAGATTTTTATGTTTCCTAAGTTAAAAAATTATTAAGTTTTGTAGTTTATATGTTGATCATGATTATAGCATGTTGGTTTATACAAAATTTGAAAAAAAATTATATTTTCATTTTTTGATATTGGATCCTCGTGACAACTGGTGAGCATTTTGCTAGTACCTTCTCAATTTTACTATTTAAATATCTCGCACAACCAAATGCATGGACAGATTCCATCTATACCAGTTAGTTACCCTCGCGCATTCTTTGATTTCAATTCAAATTCCGGCATGGCTTGGCCTTAGCCTTCAGAGTGATAATTTTGAGTTTTCGTTCAAATAAGTTTCATGGCTCCATACCGAATGAGTTGTGCGCTCTTGGTTCTCTCCAAGCGTTGGATCTTTCTCATAACAACCTCTTTGGATGTTTTGCCAAAATGTATCGGTAACTTCAGTGCCATGTTCAAACCTGATGATTCTATCTTAGCTAGTTTGCATACTACTTATTATCATGTTAGCTCTTTTTACCATGCATTTCTTGTGATGAAGGGATAAAAGGTTGAATACAGCAGAACTGTTGAGTTTTGTAAAATTTATTGAACTTCCAGAAAATAACTTACTTGGAGGATTCCTGATGAAATAATTAGGCTTCAAGGATTGCAGTCATTGAATTTGTCACATAATTATTTGACTGGAAGCATTCCTAGAAGCATTGGTGCTATGACATCAGTAGATTCTACTGATTTTTCTACGAACCAACTTTTTGGTTCAATTCCTCAGAGCATAACAAACTAGACATTTTTAAGTTACTTAAACTTGTCAAATAACAATTTGATCGGAAAAATCCCTTCAAGCACTCAGTTACTGGCGCTGGCAACCGACTTTGTGGACCTCCAGTGACACAGAAATGCAGTGTAAATACTAAAATTCCCAACACCAGGAATGAAGGTAATGGACTTCAAGTGGATTGGTTCTATGTGATCAGAGCAATTGGATTTACAACTGGCTTGGGGGGCTGTTTTAGCTCCTTTAATGCTTAGCAGGTGACGGAGATGGCTATACTTCCACGCTTTGGGTTAGATGTGGACTGGATTAGTTCTGTAATCTGTAGTATGCAAATGCTACATGATTTCATACATTTTAACTCAAGTTTATCACTATGACCGACTTGTGATATAATTAAAGTTAGCAATATGTTAATGTTATAATACAATCACATTGGATTCCATTACTGCATAAATGGTAAATGATGTAAATGAGAAAATCCCCAACTTCGAATGGGTTTTGCCAAGCACTTTGATTAAGATAAAATGAAGGGCTAAAAACCAGAGCTAGAGTTCTCAAGGAATCCATTGCTTAAAACTAGAAATACACGAGTGATTATCAATAAAATGATCAGTTTGACCCCTTCTGATTGATGAGACTATATATAATTTTTCTTCTTCCTTTTTCCAAATAACCAATAGCATAGTATGTAATTTACAGATTGGCCTGTTATCTTTACTAGAACTTTGACACCCACTACGAGGGTGAAAGAGGGAAAGAGATAACAAGCCTATCTATAAGGTAGTTTTGGAGGATTTTTTTTTTTTGGTTTAATAAAAGGCCTAGGTTTTTTTTTTTTTTGGGGGGGGGGGGTGGGGGGTGGGGTGCATAATGACAGACTGGAATTTAGGGTCCAAAAAAGGGCAAAATGAGCAAGAATGCTTTAAGGTAGTTTAAACATTTGTGATTTAAGGCTTACAAATACTGCTGCAAAACCAACACGACAATGACCAGCAAAGGCCACCGCAAGACCAACCTCGGTTGGTTTATTCATAGTCACAATGCTAGCTTTAAGGGAGGTAGAAACCATTATGTAAAACCTGTAGTCTGTAAATTCATTTTGAAATTTGGTTTCTCTTAAAGATAGATATTTTGGGTAATTTTTCAGTTTTCCTGTTTACCACTTTGGCATTATATGCTGATAAGTAATTAACAAAAAGGTTTCAATCTCAACTACGAATAACTAAGTATAAACAAATGAAAATGAGTCTTAGCACAAATATCATGTCACATTTCAACTTTCTCATCAACTCCTAGCAATGCTTTCGGGGCATTCTGAACTTGTCTGATAGTTAAAAACTACTTGAAGAACTAAGCTAGGTTAAAGATAAAGGACTCATTGAAAATTTACCAAGTTCAAGGAACAAACTTTTTCCACTAATTATAGCACAATAAAACTCAAGTGGTAAAAGCCATAGGAAAACCAGAAGTCCTTTTAAAAATAAAAAATAAAAAAGAAGTCATTAATTCTTTTACAAAAATTTGTAATGAGGACAGAAAAAGAGGTTTCTCAAAACGTTATAATTATCAAATATCTATTAGTTTTTACATATAGTCTACATTCATTCCAACTTTTGAATGATTTCACATATCAATTCCATGCTGTTCCTCTAATCTTAGCATCCAATGGATCCCTTTGGTTGTGTTTTGTTTGTGTTGTGAGGGGACTCTCACCGTGTCGTAACTGTGTTTTATAACTGAACCTTAAGGATTCAATTATTAAACGACATGCAAACGGGGATGGGAATTCTCTCACAACACATTCAAATGAAACTTAAAAATAAATGCTTAATATATTCCCACCATTATTGCTGGAAAACATTAAAAACAAAAGGAACGCCCAAATAAATGAAAACAGTGACAGATCACCTTTTTTGTCTCACTTTGATCCCTACCAACTAAATTGAATTTTTAAAGAAAATTTTCCAATGACATAAAGGCCTTACGAGAATATGCAATCAAAATTGCAAATGCTTCAATCACAATGTAAGGATGATCTACGATAATCCATTAAAAGAAAACCCATAGGAAGTGAGGCCTTTGTCAAATTGTTTAATGATTAAAACAAACCAACAACGGTGAAATGACCCTTCATTTCGAAGCTACAGCTTTGAAAGGTTGATGTTACAATCGGGCTCAAATTGATGCTGCGTTAGCATGTAAATACCCCCAAAATCAATCACAATTAGCTCAGTCCGACCAAAATAATTTGGATGGAAGGAACATCATAACAACAACAGGATTTTGGGGAAGTGAAAGCCAGAAATCTTAAGCAAACTAATCAAACTGAGTCGATACAATAAAACAAACAAGCTTGACTCGAAACTCCGCTTGAATTCGATCAAATTCAAATTTTCAAACTCAAAATAAAATTTGAGACTCATTTATTGAATAAATAACGAGCTCGATTCTCATGCTCAACTTCAAACTCGATTATTTATATTCGAACTCAAGTTCGAATTGATATATATAAAGATAAAATAATAAAAAATATAATAAAATATAAAAATTGGATTAAGCTCGTAAATTACTCGAACCGGGTATTAGAATACTCAAATTTGGCTCGCTCGATAAGTCAAGCTATCCAAGTTAGAGCTTAAGCTCGGCTAGACAATGATCGAGCTGAATTCGAGTTTTATATAAATCGAACTCGAGTAATTTGCAAGCACTGGTATCTCATTTACACCCCTAGGCAAGGCATAACACCAGTAGAAATGGATTGGGAAAAAGAAGACAGAGGATGAGGCTACTTTCCCAGAATGAATTCTATTATGAAACCTATTCACAATACATGATCAGTCTGAAGATTTTTTTGCTTCACGTATAATTAATTTCAATACCAACAGCCAGCATCCAAAAACATTCCCACGCAAATAACTAGTAGATATTAGTAGGCTTATGCCCTAATGGGGAGGGAAGAGGAAAAGGATTGGGGGTCTACCTCTTTCTCACTTCCCAACAAACTTTCACGTTCCTAAAGAATCTTTGTTTCTGAGAATCTGTTTCCCACCAGAAGCTGTCACTGGAATGCTGCCTTCTTCCCTGCCATTCCAAAATAAATGCTTATGAAAATCAAAGGTATCATAGGCCACTACAGCCTGTGGATAACATCCTAGCAAATGGTCACGGGGATGAACTATGCACATGTTAGCAGTCTAGCATATATCAGTGAACTTATTTATATTATCAAATAGATAAACTACCTGATAAAAGAATCATGTTTATGCACTGAATGCACTTTTTGTCATCAAAATAACGTGATTGAGCAAAATGAACATAAAGCCTCAAAAAGCAACACTACATCAGCCAAAATTTATAAACTCCATTCATGCAAATTACTTTTGAGAAGTCATTTTCTGCATTTTCCAAAGGTTCGCTTTGGAAGGCAAAAAAAAAAAGGTCAATGCAAAATACTAGTGAGGGAAACAACTTTTGGATCGTCACTCCTCTCTGAAGCCCAAAAATTCAAGAAATAAGGCATTGTTTCAGAACACTGGTCTTAGACCTTCCCCTACTTGGCCTGTCACCAAAACTCAACACCTGCTTCCACTGGTGCCAACCATCTCTTCCTCCTCCAATCATCATAATTTCAAAGAAAGAAAACACATTAACCACCACCAAATTATAACCAAAAACCAAAAAGAAAATAGAATCCACAGTCAATGCAAAAGAATAATTAAACTCATGATGGCATTTGTGTTTGCTAGTGTTTTTTTCAATGAAAATCATTTATTTTCTTCAGATAGGTATGAACCACACAAAGACTTGGTTATTTGAATATTATCAGCACAAGGATATTTAGTTAACATGCATGCATTGCAAGCTCTTCAACAAGCTAGAAGTTTGGAAGAGCACTGTTGAACATATATAATTGAAGCTCTCCAAAAGATTACAACAAGATACCTCTAAAAATTATATATGATTGACCAAAACATAAGGAATAATTAAAGAAATGAAAGAAAAACCATTGTTCCTCGAGTGATTAAATAAATATTAAAAAAAGTTTACTGCCTTCCATGGAACTTTCCTTCCTGGATACAAGAAAATCCAAAACAATATACTAAAAGAGTTGAACGCACCAGCCATTAACTTTACATTCTATGCCATGGCATTTTTCCACTTCTAGAGGACAAGAAACCATGAACAGGAGACAGAAAAATGGTATTTCTAGTGACCATATATGCACTGATGCCGGTAATGGGGTTTGATATTTTGAAGGTTATTTGCAACAGAAAACACACTAAAAAAACAACTCACAAGATTTTGAATAAAAACAGATATTATTATTGGATTAAAAGGATAGAAGTTCACCGCCAAGACTAAACACTAAGGGATACAGAAACACCACCCTAAGAACTCTAATCAAGGATACAGAAATATAAAAATTCACCACTCTAAGAAATCCACCTAAAAAATACAAAACTTGAGAACAATCTAAAAGACTGCTTAAGGATAAACAAACTCTCTAAGATCTCTCTTACAAATGAAGAATGGGATTTTGATCTTTCTCTTCACAAATCAAGCCTATTTATAAGCTCCTAGATTGCTGAACTTCTATAGTTCTATATCCTTTATTAGAGTTCTTAGGGTGGTATTTCTATATCCTTTAGTGTCTAGTCATGGTGGTGAACTTCTATCTCTTTAATCCAATAACAAGATTCGATCATTATTCACATTCTTGTGAGTTTTCTTTTTAGTGTGTTTTTTGTTGCAAATAACTTTCAAAATATCAAACCCCATTTCCAACATCATGCATTAAATTTAATCCACTACAATTTTGAAGGCTTTACCAAAGAAAACCAATTTCACACAAACATTAGGGACAAATGATTAGCATTAAGAATACATAAAAATTTGGTGGCACCAGGTAGTCTTGCAAAAATGCATGTAATTCACTGTTCATAGGTAAAAGGTTCATGTCAAATTGAAAGCAAAAGGTGCGAGAGGTAGCAATAAAAGCAGAGAGCGAGAACTCCTTGATGTGTTTGCCTATATCATGCTTACCTAAAAAGAATTTAGAAGGGTCTTCTTCCAGTGCTCTGATCATCATCAACATTGGAGCCACCAAAGCTGCTAAAATGGCTAGATTGAGAATCACCATGGGTCCCACTGCTTTGGTTTGAATGATTCTCATCAAATTCACCAAAACGACCTGAACCAAAGCTCCCAAAGCCACCAACAGTTTGACCAGAGTGATTGTCACCAAATCTATCTGGATTGCTTGAACCAAAGCCTCCAAATCCTCTAGTACGTCTAGGACCAAAGCTACCAAAGCCGCTAGAACGATCTGATTTACTTGAATCCCCAAATCCACTTGGACGACCAAATGCAGGACCACCAAGGTTTCCAGACCAATTATTAGAACCAAAGCGACTAAAGCTAGGTCCTCCATAGCCACCCATCTCACCAGAAAACTGACTACCAGCGCGACCAAATCCAGGACTCTTATTGCCTCCAGGACGGCCAAATCCATATTCCCCTTTCCTACCAGAACGACCAGAACCCATATCACCATATCTACGATCTGGTGTACCTCTAAATAACCCAAATCGACCACCAGCACCCATCTCATTGAACATGCCAGTGCTCCCACCCTCAACCTCAATCCTAGGAAGCTGCAATAAATCAACAAGTGATCAGTCTATAAGTTCAATTCATGAAAATATACAGTAACATAGCAATCAATGTCAAATTCATGTATATTTTTCAGGTGAAATACTCATAAGCACTACAATCATAAATATGGGAATTTGGTTATTAGCGTACATCATCATCTATGAATATGGCTACAATTGGCATCATTCACAACATTTAAAACAGTATCCTTCAACTGAAACCAGGACGGGTAAAAAAAGGGGTAAAAACAGGATCTGGTTCAGAGGATATTATTAACCACGAACCACTAAAGACTAACTAAAACCAGATAAAAACAGGGGTAAAAACCAGTTTTGATTACATAAAAAGACAAAAGGCTGAAATAGCTTTAATGCTTTAGTCAGCTCCACTTCCAAAATTCTAAAAAAGTCTCAAAGTTGAACTTTTTGACTTTTGCCAGCCCCACTTCAAACATTTTCATTTTAGCTTTTAAAAGCTCTTTGACTTTCCTAATGTTCAAATCCCTGATATACGGATATATCAAAGTTGTAAAAGATATTAAAACATCATGATTTTAACTCCCCTCCCCCAGAAAAAGAAAAAACGAAAAAGGAAAACAAGCATGCACATCAAAAGGGATACAGGATATAACCTCAGAAAATCTGCATCCTACTTCTCGTTCAATAACCCTAACAGCCCTACTTTGCTCTTGAGTATAGATAAGAATTGCACTTCCTTTCCTTCCAGCACGACCAGTTCGGCCAGTTCGATGAACAAAAGTTTCAGACGTGTTTGGAAGCTCATAATGTATTATCTATGTAAGAATATAAGATTAATCAGAAAACATTAAAAGTCTAACAAGGAGATAAAGCTAGCAGCTTACAAAGGAGCTCAAACTATATTAATTGTTGAACATCAAAGATCAAATACTATAACCTTAAGAGAAAATACAGCCTCACATACAATTTTCTACAACTTCAGCTAAGCGAACTGAAGCAAATAAGGGGAAGCAAATTAACAATTTAGAGCAGTTTTAGAATCCACAATATCAACGCATGGAGAAGCCTTCTTTAAAATGACGCTAGAATATACGAAAATTGGCATTATAGGTATCATCAAGGATTCCAAAGGAGAGTAATACTGTGAAATTTAATCAATGGTAATTAGCAGTCCGGAAAACAATGGCAGCCCGATCTATTTCCTTCAATACTTCCTATTTTAACGTACAGAAAGCATGTCTGTAGAATTTGTATTATTTTAACAATTAGCAATTATGGCCCAATACTCCAAAAATGGCCTAAATAACAGGCCAGCATGCAATTGCAAACAGAAAAGAGCAGAATATTGAAACCAATCACAATAAACCATCAGAAAATTTTTTTTGCATGGGTGGATAGGAAATCAACCCATCATGCATCGTTTAGAGCAGATAAATTCTTCTAGTATGACAAATTGTACAGACCCATAAGAAGTAGATAATCCTTAAAGTGGTACCGTGACAAAGAAAACAACAAACCAGACACGTGTCTGGCATCACGAGCTGAAAATATTAAATATCATCCATAATCAACTGAGAAAACAAAAGTTTCTAATAAAAGCAGCTAAAATTGCTAAAGGCAATTAATATGTGAAACTAACCAGGTCAACACTAGGTATATCAAGACCACGAGCAGCAACATCAGTAGCAACTAAAATATTAAAATGCCCATCTCGGAAGCCTGAGAGAGTTCTCTCCCTCTGGCTTTGTGAGATGTCACCATGCAAAGCCTCACATTTAAAGTTTCTTGCCATGGCATACGCCAGTCGATCAGCATCACGCTTAGTCTGAGTAAAAACAATACACTTTCCTCCTTTTGCATGCTCCTAACAAAAAGGATTTGATGATCAGAGAAGCAATAATAATTGAGCAAAAACTATAACGTGTTTGTAATAGGTCCAGAACTGAAATTAAAAAGAAAAAATAAAAGAAACAAAAACCCAAAAGATAAAACAGCTAAGCAGGGAAAAAAATATATATCCCTAATGCCATGACCCTTACTGTTATTAGAGGACCAAGAATTGATGCTTTTCTATGCATATCTGCTGCAATAGAATACAAGGAAATTCCTTCTGCCAACTTTTGATCAGATTCTCCAACCTGCAGGTGCATATAAGCCACAAGAAATAAGCGGTGCTATACGTATGTGTCTTTTCCTCAACCAGTGCTTATCGTCATCATTCAGAAAAATAAATAAACAAAAGAGAAAGAAAAAATAAAAATGGAATTCATACGTAATTAGATTTTAAAATAACCTAAATTTTAGCAGTGGCTTATGGGTTATGACTTCACAACTTTCAACATGCAAGGCATTGAAAATTTTTAGATCCCTAAAATATAAAAAGCACGCACCAAAGACAGCATCAATACAATAGGAAAAGATATGCCGCATATAAATAGAGGAGATGAACCAATAACTAGAAGCAAGAAATCATAACCATAAGCATAGGAGATTGGTGAAAAGTAGATATGCACACTAACCAGATCGATAGTTAAGGGATTCTTCAAGTACTTCTGGGTAAGGCTTTTGATCCACTTCGGCATTGTTGCTGAAAACATCATGCTTTGACGATTCGCAGGCAACCTCTCCAGTATGGTTTCAACATCCTCGGCAAATCCAACTTGAAGCATCTGATCTGCTTCATCAATAACAAGAAATTGAACCTCTGTTAAGTTGAGAGCACCTCTCTTGAGCAGATCAATAATGCGGCCAGGTGTGCCAACAGCTACATCAACACCATAGTCAAGTTGCCTCATTTGGCGGGAAATGGGTGTACCCCCATAAACACAAATTGTATCCAAGTTGGGGGCAGACTCATGAAATTCCTTCTCAACTTGTTTAGCAAGTTCTCTTGTTGGTGCCAAAACCAAGCACAAGGGGTTTCTACCTCGCCTGCATATTTAACACAAAATGACATGTATAATTAAAATGAGAATAGAAATTTTCCATAATCAATCAACCGGTCAATCTTCCATGTGAATGAAAGAATCAAATTAAACCATTCTGTGAGGTTGTTGGCTTGCTATTTACTTTCTGCTTCATCAGTAGTTGCTAAAAGCTAAAAGTAACTATTAAAAAGCTAAATTATAGTAGTATCATATTATTACAATTTGATTAAAAGTAAGCAAATGGCTAAAACATAAAACAAATCGAACATAGCTTACTCATAATAAAGGCACAATTATGCATTTTGCTATGCAAAAAGTTTTTGAAACCAAAACAACTTTTTTTTACCTTTTCATTTCAAAAGTTAAAAAAAAAAGTAGCAAAACTGTAACAGCAAACTTAAGAGTAATAGAAAGGGAAAAAATGGACAAACCCATGTTCAGCATTGTATCGAATGATTTTGTCCATTATAGGAATCCCAAAGGCAAGTGTTTTGCCTGTCCCTGTCTTAGCTCGTCCAATCATATCCCTTCCTTGCATTGCCGGTTCCAACACCGCTCTCTACAGTGGAATAGAAAGGGCAAAAAAACATTCAGAAAAATTAACTCTTTTTTTTCATTAATTTCATTAAAAGCTAAAAGCTTAAAATAAAATCAAAATATATATTCACTTTACCTGGATAGGAAATAATTTGGTGATACCCTTATTTTTCAAAGCGGAAACAATCTCTGGAGCAATGCCCAGACTAGAGATCTCAAGCCCATCACCTCCCTTCTCGTCATCATAATCCTCGATGGCATACTCCGCCTTCCAACTCGGCGATGCCCTGAAATTCAAAGGCCCTGATTGGGCGTGGAACCCCCTGGCCGAGGACCCCGGAAAGCTGGCGAAGGATCTGAATCTGTTAACAAAAAGAGTCTCAGCATTTCGAGTGGTGTTTGCAGCTGCCGCTGCTGTTGAGTGGAAGTGGTGAAGGAGAGTTTGGGCTGAGGCCGTAAGAATCCGCCGGGAGACTAAGGAAGCTGTGCGTTTTAAGACGGTGTTCATCGTTTTTCTTTGTTTCTGAAAAGCTGTTATTTGTAACAGCGAAGAACAGAGCTTAGGTTAGGGTTTTAGAAATGCACAATAGCGAAGGGAGGGTTTATGACTTTGTAGTTTGTACAAATTTTTTATCAATACGTATTGCGTAGATATTTGTTGAGTATCCATCCTCTGCGTTCCGCTTTACTTTTGCAAGAATACACTTGCAAATATGTCTATGCCACCTAAGCACGGTTAAAACATGGTGCATTTCAATAGTGCGTTTTTGCTGCTAGGATGTTAATATTTCAGTTTTAATTTAATTGATAGTTCAAATTGATTTAATTTATCAATCTGTCATTTCAATTAATTATTGAAAATAATTTTTAAAAAATTTTAATTTTTGATTAATTAAATAATTTTCATTTTAAGTAATTTTATGCTTATCAATTTGATCATTTTCAATGAGTTTAATTGGTATGTTTAATTTTCGCTATGATGCTTATTATTTTCTAATTTCTATTTTTTATATTATTTTGTTACTCTCTTCTTACTCTATAAACTCTAATTTGTTTATATTAAAATACTGAATCATTATTTGATATTCATAACCTAATCATAAAATTTTGTTTCAATGTATAACTAATGCTAGGTTCAGCTTCACTCGATCGGTTGTAATAATAAATACTTAGTTGCTTGTTTGTTGCAATTACAAATGGCTCAATTGTTGAATACTTGTTCAATCCTCGGAGATAAACTTCTAATATATTTGGTTTTATGTAAAACCATGCAAGTTACACATAAACATTGGTAGAATGATGCTATGATTCATAATTGAGATCATTGGAAAAACCCCATTATTATCATTTATAAAAGACAAAAATATTGATGAAAACTTACATAATGACCTCTCATAAGATGATGGATCAATGTTTCCTTGTTTGATTTCAACAACTTTGAAAGCATTCATGCATTGCAAGGATGGATGCGTAGAGGATTCCAACTTACAGGCAACTTACAAGCTTCTATTCTCAACTATAAATTAGTCACTCGATCTCTACTCAGCTATTAATCAATCGCTAGATCATTACCTTTTGTGAAAATGAGGTGGTTAGTGCCATTCATTTGTTTTCTAGGTAACATGATTTCTTGACCTTTTATCTATTGAATTGAGTCATTCTAAGTAGTGGTAGTGATTTTTTTGAATGAAGTGATTGACTAAAATTTTTAAGTTTAGAAATATGATACACACTAGTTGATTGGGAAAATATAGATGAAAGAAACTTGAGATTGATTTAAGACATTTCAAATATCAGCTTCTATTCTTATTCAAATTAAAAAAAAAAAAAAAGGTTCATGATGATGAGCTACAAAAAAGGTAGCCCATAAGATATTTTGTTTTACTCTAAATTAAATAGAAAAAGACATTTTGATAGTATCCAGTGTCCACTAACATGGGTTAAATTGGCTTGCTTTCAATTGCTAATGTAGGGAATAAAACTTGACATATATTTCGTTTAACATATGTAAACTCAATAATGCTTTCATTACACTTTTTTTTAATATTTCATATTGTCATAAATAGAACCTTGGTACTCTATATGTCTTCTTTAATATATAACAGTATTAACCACATAATCCACGTTATGTGCCAATTGTTTCATGTTTTGACATTATCTTCTATAAAGTTTAGTAATTCAATATTAAACAAATTTCAAGCAACCAAGTTATTTTTTTTAACTAATAGTTAATTTGTTTTAAAAGGCACAATATATCAATTTCAAGCAAAATATAGTCATGTTTTAGATAGGCACAATATAGTCCTCAAAAGTAAAATAATCATAAACATATAAGCATATTAGTTTGTTAATTTGTGATTTGGTTCATTGATTTCTTATATGAAATGTAATATTTAACTATAATTATAAGTTCTTCTTTCAACCAGAACCACCAACTGATAATAAGCATATACTTAATAAAAAAGATATAGTAGACCCAATGATAACAATACCTATCAATGTCTTTGGAAAGCCCCTCTAACTTTTTAGCTCTAGTTTTTTTTCTTTTCAGTTCTTTCCTTCTAGCTCTCTTATTTTCAATTCAAGTCACCCTCTTTGTCTTATGAAGCTTGTAGCATGATGGAAGCAAATTAATACATAGATCAAGAGTTCATGATAACAGGAAATATTAACTTTCATTCCATTGACTCTTGGGAAACCTTAAAAGTCAGCCATCAACCTACAAAAGTTGGTTCGAGATTATAGCATTTTGAGTCTCATTTTTAACCAAAAGAATATATTCTAAACTTAATCATGATCTTTTGGTGATGTTTATCAGGAAATGTATCTTGGCAACCAAAATTATGCTTAAATCTATGAATTCAACTTTAATTTGTCTACTCACAGTATATTCAAATATACTAACTTCCCACAAAACTCTCAAAACCCAATGTTGTTACTTGACACACAATAGAGGTCCACTCCTTCTGAACTTGCTTATCCGAAGGTATCTCAAGAGGATAGCAACGTGCTACTTCCTTAATTTCTGGAAGTGTAATCACATTGTTCACTATCTGAGCAATATTAGGCTCTATTTCAAGAATTTGCAAAAGTGATTAAGTCAACGATAAGAAACTATTACTATTTTTTTTGTGTTCTGATCTATTGTAAGAAAGGCATACAAAACTCATACATATTCCTATTTTCGTATTACAGCATAAAGATTTTCCATTCTTTCGAGAAAGTTTTAATGTTTAGATGAAATTTCAAAGGAAAAATGAGTATAAAATTTTACCAACTTCACTAGAGCAACTTCCTTTTTCTCTATTACTTGTATAGGTTTTATGTCTTTTTGAAATATGCTAGGCTCTGTACTCTTTGTTTACATTGTGAAATAGAAGGATTAGATTATAAAAATTTTATAAATTGTATTATTTTACTTTATCCTGTATCTCCTAATTACATTTTAAGCAAAAAATGTTTACATATTCATAGTTCTTCATCCAAGAAAAAAAAAACAAAAAAATTAAAAGAACCAAACATAAAAAACATAGCTTAACAGAAAAAAAAACACAATCCACAAAAAAAAATCCAAATAGAGAAACAAACCTAAAAATCACAAAAACAACAAAACACCCACTCACCTTCAACTTAATCCCCAATAATATTCAATAATACCTGACCCAAAAATATTAATTAAATAAAAAACACACACCAATCCATAAAAAACTTATTTCGATTACCATTAATCAACATGCAATAAATATTTCAGAAAAATATTTTTTAAAAAAAATGCAAACCAAACAACCAATATTTTAAACAAATTAAAGACCAAAAAACATAACGTTGAAAATTTTTTCTTTAATAACAAAATCATTCTAACAAATTGAAGTCTATAATAAAAATCCTAATAAGAAAACCTAAAAAACAAAAAAAAAAATCCACATTCAATTAAAGAACCAAAAGAATAAAAAAAATTTACCTAAAAAAAAAACCAAAACCAAAACTAAAAGGAAATGAGCAAAACACATACAACTGCCCAAAAACACATCAAAAAACAAATCAAAACCAAAAGTAAAAGAAAAAAAAACATATTAACTCTGTCCATTTCATGCCAACATTACTCTCTTCGAAAGCCAAATGGAATATACCTGTTAACGAAAACACGTTAAGAAAGAAAAAAAACACATGTGAATACACTTGTCAACACACACACACGTTAAGAAAGAAAAAAAAAGAATTTGAATATTACACCCTACAACAAAAAAAGCCCAAAAAGCAAAGCATGAATACACCTATCACGTCCCATTTGGGATATTTTTTATATAGGGTATACAGATGTTAATGAAATGTGTTTTTATTTTATAGGCTGCAATTTAATTTATATTCTTAAAACATATTTGCATGTTTATGGTTCTTGTCTTTTCCCATTCCTTATTGTTATTATCTTACAAACTATTTAAATTTCAAATTATCTTTTTTTCTTTTTTATCTTTTTAAATAGAGTAATTTGCAATGTGTTGGGCTAAAAGCCTCCAATCCAATTACACCAGCGGAAGCGAAATCAAACAATAAATCAAACACACAAGAGACAACAATTTAACGTGGTTCGGTCCAACTGACCTACATCCACGGATGAGAAACAAGATCCACTAGTTGTAAAGAATTACAAACATACATCAAATCATCAACCTCACTCAACAATCAATACTCATAAGACACTCTCAATCTCCTCTAGTCCTATGAAGTATTCTCTACCCAAACAAACACAAACCCTTGTGCACCCTTTCAACATAACCAAACACATACTCATATGCTCCCATACATCATACCTATGTAGACCCTCTCAGTCCCCTCTAGTCCACTCACAAACAAACATACACACCTATAAGACATAGAGCTCCAATACTCCTATGGGGTATCTATCCCACAAAATCCTACAACTCTCTTACATCTTTTTCTCATACTAAACCCTGTAGAGACTTCATCTATTTATAACCATACAAACTTACCCATTAAGAATCCCTCTCCTTTTAGAATTCTTCTCTTGCAAATCAAACTTACCTATTAAGAATCTTCTTTCTTTTGGAATTTTTCTTTTGCAAGTCTTCTTATCCATTAAGCAATATCTGACAAATCCCAAACAAATCTCAAACAAATCTCTTATGGGATTTGAGTCAATATTCCCAACAATCTCCACCTTGACTCAAATTCCATCAATCATCTGTCTTCATGCTAGACATGCTTGGCTCCACCTACAATGGAAGTCTTACAATCATCTTCTGTTCTCTTGTGTCTTCACGCTTCATACAAACCAATCTTCAAAACTTGAACTCGAACTCTTCTCTTGAATCGAGCTCCTCTAAGCTTACTTCTTCTCATATCTCAAACTAAGCTCTTCCCATATCTCGAACTGTCAACTCTTCCCATGTCTCAAACCATCGGCTCTTCTCACATCTTGAATCTTCAACTCTTCTCACCTTTCAAACCTTCAGCTCTGATACCACTTGTTGAGAAACACCATAGCTCTGATATCATTTGTTGAAGATCACCACAGCTCTGATACCATTTGTTGGGCGAAAAGCCTCCAATCTAATTACATCAGCGGAAGCGAAATCAAACAATAAATCAAACACACAAGAGATAACAATTTAACGTGGTTCGATCCAACTGACCTACATCCACGGATGAGAAACAAGATCCACTAGTTGTAGAGAATTACAAACATATA